GTACGTTTATGGAGCAACTTGCAATGTGAACAGACTGACTTAACGTTGCAGTGGCCAGGCTTAGGCTTTATTACAAGTACTTTTGGCAGTTTGGGAGACACACAGATGATGATCAAACCAAATACAATGTATGTGGCCAGCTCTATGGTCACTGTCTTGAACACTATGTGCTTTATTGTCCACTTACTGAGGAATAAAGAGATAGACAGTATAATAACCTGTGTGACATGTCAATAGATTTCTTGTTAATGAAAATAAGATACCAGATATATTAATTAAGCAGATTTCCTAAATTTGCTTGTAACAGATAAGCGAACTGTAGATATAAATCCAGATGTACTCCTGTTAACCTTTATGTGGACTAAGTTCCAGGCCTTTTTGTGTATCCATATGCTCTTGCGCTACCGTCCACAGGATGAATATGGGGCGCACAATAAACTAGCCACTTCGGTGGCAAAATCTAAAAATCTAATCTTGACAAATGAGTTGTACGATTCGGTCCGGTCACGACCATTGTGGCTTAAAATGGTCCAAGACTGGTTGGAACGTCGTCATAAAGTTTCTCCAGTGGCTCCAGTATGAAAGGCTCTCTGTGTTCATGTCAGTGTATGTATGAGTGTAACGACATCTGTTGTGCAATATAAACATATCTCAGTAAAGGTACCCAGGTGTTACACATGTCTTAGTATTAAATTTATATAATCTAATGCTTATAATTATAGCCATAATTTTTGAAGGGGTGGACCGGTAAGCCAGCAGAAGGCCTCAGTCAGATGACCAAAAACCCCAACGGCGAGTCATCATGCGAGTCGCGTCAGAAAACACTTGTCCTGTTTCCTGACAAACTTAACCTAATCTAACCTTTGTTAGTCATCACACTTTCTCAGTTTTAAAGTAAAAATCGAGCAAAATCTTAATATTTATATGAAATATGATATTTCGCAATATTTTCATGATATTTTTTTCATAGTTTTTTTAATATCAAACATTTTTGTAAATTTTATGAATCTGTTCATAGATAAAATTGCATATCACCGACAAGTGTTTTAAAACCAGCTTTTATTGGGGACGATGTTTGTGCAGCTTGTCTCACTTCACGCCTCGTTCTTCTTCGTCTCTCTGTGTCTTTTTGTACGAGTCACCGACCGACAGCTTCTGCAGAATTGAACTTAACCTCCCTGGGGGCCGAGGGGGGGGGGGTTAAAAAAAATGTGTGCGAATGGAAGGAAAGGGAACAAGAGTTGCCTTGAGAAATTGGGAAGAAATGGTTCCTAATTAGGGCAGGTTGATCAGCGTGCCTAAAAACCCTTGTGGAGTGGGGGTAACCCCCCTCACACACACACTGTGACTCGACCCCTGTATCCACAAATAGGTGAGTACACACACACACACACACACACACACACACACACACACACACACACACACACGTGCACGCACGCACGCACGCACGCACGTATGCACACAGACACAGGCGGACAGACAGACTAACAGACACACACACACACACACACACACACACGCTGACGACACTGGAGGACAGGAGGGTCAGGGGAGACATGATAACGACATACAAAATACTGCGTGGAATAGATAAGGTGGACAGAGACAGGATGTTCCAGAGAGGGGACATAGACATAAGGGGTCACAATTGGAAGCTGAAGACTCAGATGAGTCACAGGGATGTTAGGAAGTATTTCTTCAGTCATAGAGTTGTCAGGAAGTGGAATAGTCTAGCAAGTGATGTAGTGGAGGCAATAACCATACATAGCTTTAAGACAAGGTATGACAAAGCTCAGGGAGCAGAGAGAGAGAGGACCTAGTAGCGATCAGTGAAGAGGCGGGGCCAGGAGCCGAGTCTCGACCCCTGCAACCACAATTAGATGAGTACAATTATGTGAGTACACATACACACACGCAAAAAAAATAGTGCAAGGGTCTATCGACAAGTGCCTTTGACAACCAGTAACTTCTGCAGGAGACCTTCAGTGGTGATGCCAAGACCATCCTCGCCTGGGTCAGCAGCACTCGCACGCACGCATGCGCTCTACCCACTGCTCTTTTTTTCGCCTTGTAAACAAACTGTTTGTGAAAGGAGTATCTGGTGGACTTATTTGTACGATTGTGGGGGGGATGGCGAGAATCTCGTATGTAAATACATGTTCGTAAGAGAGGAGGGTGGGTGGGGGAATCCGGATTTTGCAGAGGCGTTACCTTCTTTTCCAGTGTAAACAAACGGTTCGTGAAAGGGAAATTCGGATTGTGCTCCGAAATAACGGGAGAGTTGGCAACGGTACAAGAAAGAGAAAGATCTAGGAGTAAGCAAGTAAATTTATTTAGGTACATGTACACATAAATTCAGTCACATAAATTACCATACACAAGTAACATAAGTGTATATTACCCACCAGGATAATCCCCCCCGTCCTCCAAAAAAAAAAGGTCAAACAAATTTATTTATTTTTAATGGGGTCTTTGTAATATCTTATTATTTAAACCTTAAAAGTTAGAAGAGAAGAGGTAGGAAGATCAGCCATGAAGAACGCTGAACACACTCATCAGTCTGTAGGACACACCAAGAAACAGACAAACAATAACATCGCTCAGCAAATGTCAATAAAGTTACCCAGATGTTGCACATGTGACCAGTTCTTCACCTTGACGGTATTGTGCACCATTTATGTACAACACCACACGTAGCCTCCTTTACAAGAATATTATGAAATATTAACAGTGACATATTTTCCAGTAGACTGACAGACTGCGAGTGTTATGATGTCCAGTCAGTTTGGTCTCTCTTGTTTACTTACTATGTTCCTATCCATCTTCCTTTTTTCTCTTCTTATTTTTCATCTTACTCTTCCTTTTCTTAAAGAAGAATTAGACACATGTCCAACATCTGGGTATCTTTATTGTAGACGTTTCGCCATCCAGTGGCTTTATCAGTACAAATTCCAGGACATAATGTGAAGACAGTAGAACTATGTGTAAAAGTTGAGGTAATCAGTCCCTCAGTCTTGAAGTTGGTGAAGACCACCGTAGTCTTGAAGACTCTTTCAGGCGAAACATCTACAGTGAGATACCCAGATGTTTCTCAAGTGTATAATTCTTCATTGTATTGATATTATATACCATACATGTACAGTTTTCCTTTTCGTACACTTCCCCTTCTCTTACTTTTCCCCCCTGTCACTCCTTACTTTCCTTCTCTTACTCCTCTTCTTATTTTTCTGTTCTTTCACTTCCTCCTTTTACTCTTCCTCCTCCCCATCTTCCTCATTCCTCCCCACCTTTTACCTACATCATTCACTTCCTATTCAATCTTGTTTATCATCTCCCTTCTCTTTCCACTACGTCCTCTCTCATCACCATCTTTCCCTACTTCCTCCTTCCACTATACGCTCCTGATCCTCTCCTTCCCTCTTCCTCCTCCATTTCTTCCTTCACTTCATCCTCTCTAATACCCAAATCTTTACAATGTTGTGGGAAACTGTATATATGTGGGGAGAGAGTCCACGATGATGGTGTGGGCAACCCACGATGATGGTGTGGGTAACCCACGATGATGGTGTGGGTAACCCACGATGATAGTGTGGGTAACCCATGATGATGGTGTGGGCAACCCACGATGATGGTGTGGGCAACCCACGATGATGGTGTGGGCAACCCACGATGATGGTGTGGGCAACCCACGATGATGGTGTGGGCAACCCACGATGATGGTGTGGGCAACCCACGATGATGGTGTGGGCAACCCACGATGATGGTGTGGGCAACCCACGATGATGGTGTGGGCAACCCACGATGATTGGTGTGGGCAACCCACGATGATGGTGTGGGCAACCCACGGTGATGATGGTGGGGGCAACCCACGGTGATGGTGTGGGCAAACCACGATGATGGTGTGGGCAACCCACGATGATGGTGTGTGGGCACCACGATGATGGTGTGGGCAACCCACGATGATGGTGTGGGCAACCCACGATGATGGTGTGGGCAACCCACATGATGGTGTGGGCAACCCAGATGATGGTGTGGGCAACCCACGATGATGGTGTGGGCAACCCACGATGATGGTGTGGGCAACCCACGATGATGGATGTGGGCAACCCACGATGATGGTGGGCGATGATGGTGTGGGCAACCCACGATGATGGTGGGGCAACCCACGATGATGTGTGGGCAAACCCACGATGATGGTGTGGGCAACCACGATGATGGTGTGGGCAACCACGATGATGGTGTGGGCAACCCACGATGATGGTGTGGGCAACCCACGATGATGGTGTGGGCAACCCACGATGATGGTGTGGGCAACCCACGATGATGGTGTGGGCAACCCACGATGATGGTGTGGGCAACCAACGATGATGGTGTGGGCAACCACTGATGATGGTGTGGGCAACCCATGATGATGGTGTGGGCAACCCACGATGATGGTGTGGAACCCACGATGATGGTGTGGGAACCCACGATGATGGTGTGGGCAACCCACGATGATGGTGTGGGAAACCCACGATGATGGTGTGGGCAACCACGATGATGGTGTGGGCAACCCACGATGATGGTGTGGGCAACCCACGATGATGGTGTGGGCAACCCACGATGATGGTGTGGGCAACCCACGATGATGGTGTGGGCAACCCATGATGATGGTGTGGGCAACCCACGATGATGGTGTGGGCAACCCACGATGATGGTGTGGGCAACCCACGATGATGGTGTGGGAAACCCACGATGATGGTGTGGGCAACCCACGATGATGGTGTGGGCAACCCACGATGATGGTGTGGGCAACCCACGATGATGGTGTGGGAAACCCACGATGATGGTGTGGGTAAACCCACGATGATGGTGTGGGCAACCCACGATGATTGTGTGGGAAACTCACGATGATGGTGTGGGCAACCCACGATGATGGTGTGGGAAACCCACGATGATGGTGTGGGAAACCCACGATGATGGTGTGGGCAACCCATGATGATGGTGTGGGAAACCCA